TTCAACGCTATTCATTCCATAGACTTATTACGTTTATGCTTTTTTGTGATAATAATTGTCATAATTATATTGCTGTCACGAATATTTCCGACATTTTAGAGAATGATAATAACAAATGTAATGTTTGTGTCAAGAGACTTAACTGTCAATTAATGAATCAGAGTCAACGTAAACTGTGAGTCCCAAACTAACAACAGGATATCCATATGGTACTCCTTGGTTTGCAAATGTTCTGCAACCGTTTTATCATATAAACTAACTTCAACTGAATTCTGGTTCATTTGAGATGAAACCTAAACACTATTATATTTTCCTTTAAAAGCTTTATATGGAAGAATATTGTTTAAATAAACGAAAATCAATACACAATAAGACAAAAGACCAAGAAAGATTGTTTCATTGAACAGTTCTTTTTGCGTCAAATTTATTTTCTAGGTTATACAATAACAAAAATATGGCGATGATGACAATAATAGTAATAATGATTTTTTTTTATCTATTATACAGTTGTCAAGATTGTTAGGTTGGAATGACAAATCAATAATTTTTAGACCACCATTAAAAACTTGAAAGAACTGGACGGCCATATTGTCCTAGTATGTGTTCATCTACTGCAAACGAGATTCGAATATGAAAACCGCTGGACTCATTGCCGCACAATACAAGGACAAAACAGCCGTTCAGTGCTTTCAAGTTTCGACTGGCGGTCTAACAATGGTTAATTCATCATTTCAATGAGAATAAAAATTTTTTTAAACATATTAGTCGTAATGCAAATTAAATAGAAGGGTTGAAATGTTATTTTAATTGAAGGAATTAAAAAATGTTTTTGTGATCGTAAAAATTCATCACAAATGATTGATGAATAAATTATTATAATCCGAAAGTTAAGACGCAGCGTGATAAGATAAATTACTGAAATTAAGATGAATTACAATCAGGGAGATCATATAAACATATAAACAAATCAGTTGGGGGTAAAACGTCAATAGAAAAGTAAATGAACGGAAAACAAATGGCTGTGAATGGAGAAAGAAAATAAATAAAATGAACGTTTTCAATGGTAGAAGAAACGATTGTGCCAGTTTCTTCTGTACAATATTATTCTGGTTTTATCAGGTGTACAAAATAAGTGCATCATCACTGTTGAGAAAATAACAGTCAACTACGTTTGGCAGTATACTACTTACCTTGCAGGTGATTTTGAACACACAGTTCGATTTGATTAAAAGACATATTTTCATAATGAGTTTGATTATCAAACTTCTTACTGAATCGTTTTCACCCACCTTTTCAGTCAAGCTGGATAATGTTTTCAAATTCTTTTGGATAAAATAAGCATCAAACGAATGAATTACCTAGCTTCATATGGACAAATAAACTGATAAACCCGCATAGAATTGACCAGATGAGATCATTTATCTTTTAGGTTATTGGTGAAGTTCGGTAGGCTCAATAATCCAAGTCTCAAAGTTGCTGAAAAATCATTTTTCAAGTTACAGTCCTAAATTCGCCTTTTCAGTATGTTTGCAATTATGTCGCTTTAATAGATTGACGTTTATATAAATAGTTCTCTTTCTCCTACGGAAAATATGTTTTTACAAACAAATCCCGAGTCTTTAATAAGAAATTCTTTTTAGGAAGTTTAGTTCAGTACAACAAATTCTTCATATTCCTGTAGCAAGCGATATAATTAAGTTTTGCTTTCGTTTAATAGGAGAAGCCAGTTATGAAAGCCTGATAAATGACCATCCCATATGGATTTTTTTATTATAGATCTTACAATTTCATTGTGTTTCCATATGATTTGGACATCAAGAAAGCAGATGTTTTGTCTGTCTTTAACTTGGTAGTTCGTAAACATCCTTTGTGGAATGTTTCAAATGATATTTACTGTCAAAAATGATAAAGATATCACCAAACCGATCCATCATACAAGTGGACGTTATCGATAGTCATTGCAAGTTTATTGATTTTCAGACTGATCATGTAGCAATCTACTGGTAATGATGAATTAAAAAAAGGAATCCCATTGCTATTCCATCCCTTACTCTAGTAGTTCGGTATTAGTTATTTACTTACTGATAAAACTGTTGGTCTCTGTGTGCGAGATATTAGCGACTAGTGATCCAGTATTGAGTGAGAGTTTTTTATTCACAGTTTCGTTTTCTACACATTTGAAATCCTCAGTCAATCATTGTTAGACTACCATTGGAAACATGGAAGCACTGGACGGCCGTTTTGTCCTGGTATGGGACTCATCAGTGGCAGTGCGCATCCACGACTTCTGCTTCTCGCAGGATTCGGACTGCGGACCATCGGTATTGTGCGCGAACGACTAACCATCGAACCACTGGACCGGCACCCAACGGTGTTAATGTCTAACTCTGATTGATCTAGGGATTTCGCGCGACCTCACCCTTTGGTCTTTGGTAGTTACTGCCTACACCCGACAGGGTTGAACTCCATTGGTCACGTCTTCTCAACTAGAACTTCGAGAATTTCCTCACGAAGCTAATCACTAGTGAGCACTGTTACGATATTTTGGGGCAGAGTTTTGTAGGTTTTTTGTGTTTTTACACATTCGAAATCATCAGTCAATCATTGTTAGACCACCGTTGGAAAACAGGACGAAACGGCCGTCTTTTAGTGCTTCCAGGATTCTAATGGTGGTCATCTAACAATGATTGATTGATGATTTCGAATGTGTAAAAACACAAACCTCCAAAACTCTGCCCCAAAAAAGTTCCAACTTTATTTTGTGTAACCAAAATAGTTATGTAGAAAATGTAAACAAAAATACTTTTGCTTACACGAGGTTCCAAGAGATTTTACATTCATTTTGTTACACAGTCGTTAAGAGAGATCCGAACATATTAAGGATCAATCTGACAGGTACGTTGGCTGTAAGTACTTTTAGGCGGACCATAATGTTTAAATCAGTGATTATCGATTAAATAAAAAAAAAACCTAATTTGTAAGAGAAATTATTTTTCATACAATTACTCTCATATAACGAAAAATCTTTCTATTTAACTAAACAATAGATAACTTAACACCATTAAAATTGATACAATTCGATCAAATAACTGTAACTTGAATGGTAAACTAGTTTTATAATGTGCAAATTTGTATGATAAATAGTCTATCCATTCATACTAGGAACATGTTGACTCGTTTGTTTAAGTTGCACTATGTCAACTCCATTATTAGTTCACCTATTCTTCAATTCGACTTAATGAATTATTTTTTGTCATTTTAATTAGATTTCAAATAAATTTTAACCTCCTAAAATTAATCAAAATAATTCATTGAGATATTGCCGTTTCATGTCTAATACGATAATATTTTTAATTCTTGGAGAAACTAAAAATTGTTGCATATATATATGTCTTAAAAGACAATTACTGCCTTGAAATAAAATTTGAAAATTTTCATTAAGTTAGGCTAAATTATTAGTCAACTGGTAATAATATGCCTAGATGACATGATTAACTGGAAAATGTCAAATTGATTCGCGCACGAATGTACTATTTATTATTAACAATTAGACATAAATCAATTCATTATTGATGAAAAATATTTGTTGTCAATGTCAATATTTTGCCTAATTTACATTTCCTAAACTAATCAAACTTACAGGCACTTTCACATTAGTTGTTTTGTCTTGGTGCGTTTGGAAATCGCGAGTGTTTTACTTTGTTCAAAATTATTTCTTGAAACCTTTAGTTCCTATTACTTTTTGACATGTGTGATCTAACATAATTTATGGAAAGACTAGTAGATTCTCTGATGTTCTAATATGCCTTGGTTTATCTTAAAAAAACAAAGGAACTCACTATTATAGAAAGCAAGAAATTTCCCAGAAGTTTTGTATTTTTCACAAAGCATACACATTTCAATGAGCTAGATTATTCAATTAATATACTTTTACATAAAGTAAAAATTTTCATGCGAATTCTAAAAGCTCAGTTGACTTCTCCCATATTGCATCACTTGTGGTTTAGATGAGCTGTCCGCGCAAGAACTAAATGGTGAGACTCAGCGGTTCAGCGGTTCACTGGGTTTTAATTCATAACTATGAAACAGGGCCTTTACAAATTTAGGATACTAGTAAGCTGCCAGCTGGTATTCGATCATAGACACTTTCATATATGTTGGAACTATCAAGCTACGGATTGTCAGGATAGACGTAGAGTAAGGAGAATGGGTAGGAAATCGGTAAATAAGGTTATAATTTTTTATTGAATGGGATAGTTGGCTCATAACTTTACTTATGCAAACCCAACGTTTATTTTGATTGTGTTAAGATAGGTAGAAAAAAACTGAAAAGTCTGTTAAATCACGACAAGTCATCAGTCTATGAAGTTACTGTTAAGTGAGTTCAGTTATATTGGATAGGTTTAGATTACCCGTTTAAGGTCAACGAGGTAACCGCTATCGCTGGCTGGTCACTTTGAATAGAAATGGTCAATATCATTGGCAATGATGCATGTTTATCATGCTTTTTTTCGCTAGATAGTAAGACTGTCTCAAAAAAAAATTTTCTTTACTGATGCATATTTTCTTCTGGAATAGCAACATTAATCAATAATTTTTTTTCAATACCACTAAATACCGTTAAATAGTTATTTGTACTTCCCTGGAACTTATTTTAAGCTTTTCATAATGTCGTGTGATAGCCATGTGGACACTTGGATCAAAGTTCACATATCTCAAGTTCTATACTAAGAAGGGTTGACTGAAACCACGTATGAAAATCTCCGATTACTAGTAATCACATAAAAAATTTAAGAAAAAATCAAAGTGTACAAAGAGTTTATTAAAAATAGTGTTGTTGATTTTTATCATTTTAATTTGGTTCATTTAAATAGTTAAATATATTTTTTTTCTGTTTTTTTGGCGGAAATAAATATTCAAAATAAAAACTTTTAAAACTCATCTCATTATTTTATTTATTTTATTTTTTTTAAATTTTATTTTTTTCTTTGAAAATTAATTTAATTACATTTAATAAGATTATAAAATGTTCTACGAAAACGTCTACTAAGCCATGAATAAAAAAAGAAATTCAATGTTGAATTAATAGCTAAACTTAAATTGACAAAATTACCAGCTATAGCTAATTGTAAACGTACCAATGGTCGGCGAATATTTGGATGTGATACTTTAATTAAGTGTAACAATGCACTTGGCATAGTCAATACACAAAATGCAACAACAATTAATATTAACATTAAAGTAATACGATCTTTTTCATTGAAATATGCACGTGATTGATGTAGAGTGTATAGTTTCGGTGCAGAATTTGTTAATGAACGATAACTGTTTGTTGGTAAATTCTCTGGTTCATTAGGATTAGGATTATTATCGGTGGTTTCATGAATTTCCATTGCTGAGAGAATATTTCCTCTGGATAATTTACTTCTGTTCTGTTGTTGTTGTTGTTGATGATGTTGTCGACGTGTTTTGTACTTACTAAATAGTTGAAAATTTTTAATTGAATTTTTATATGATGAATCACATTCATGACTCGCCTGATTGACGATTTGTTCTGAATTATTATTTTTTGTATAGTTTATTAAACTATCAGTGACATATACAATACCATAACGAATTTTTGGTAAAACTACTTCATTTGTTGTTTTCTTCGTCATTTTTAAACGAATTTTCGATGCTTGTATGATTGATTTGATAAGAAGACCATTGAAAACGGATAATATAATTAAAGGACCTATGACAACTAAAATAATTATAATAATTGGCCATCCATTTTTATTTAAAATTTCACCTATTTTAGTTTCAGTTAAAATATAATGTGGTGCACGAATAGATTGTTGTTGACTAATTTTTGTTATATTATTGTTATTCTTATTATTATTATTACTGTTCATTCGAATAGTTTGATTTACATTCAATGTTAAATCATCAACATCATTGAGATTATCATTCATCGTTTGTATCTCATCAATGTTAAACTCTTCACTCCATTTCACTGTATATGATAAAAAATCCGGTAGCGTTACACTCAATGTAAGCAAAAAGATCACAAGTATAATCCATTTACAATTTTGTTTTGTACAAATTTTACGCGCTAATATTGGCGATGAAACTGCAATATATCGTTCAGCAGCAAATGCACAAGTTAACCAACATGATGTATTACTACATAAATTCCCGAATGCCATCATATATGGCAATAAATACATATAATGTATTGATGTTTCAAATTTATCCAATGTTCTCAATGTTAATAATAATAATGTGATGCCATAGAATAAATCAGATACTGCTACAGCAAGTAAATATTTATTTGTTGATGAATTCATACGTGGTCTTATTAAGACAAGAATATTTAAACAATTTGTTGAGATACCAATTATACAAACAACAGGAATTAATCCTTGCATACAAATTGTTCGTACTAAATAAAATAATCTCAATGTTTCAATAGATTCATTAGTTAAATCAGTTTGTGTAAAATTAAAATCAGGCATGTTACATATGGGTGATAATGATGATGATGGTGATGATAATGAGAAGAATGATTTTCTAAATAAAAAAATAACTTTCAACTAATTTTATAAATATATAATAAATAAAGCATTGAATTCAATAATCTATGAATTGAATTGAATTGAATTGAATTACATTTAAGCAATGACAATTATATTAACGTAATTTATAATTTGTTATTTACATTTTCCACCAATCAAAACTCAGTTTATGTTTTTTGTTTTAGTAATATGAAAAAAAAACCGATTTATGTCAAACCATTCGTTCAAACTTTAATGATGAAGTAAGTAAGTGTTCATGCAATGAAGATGATTGGTTCATAATGCAAAAGTTAACAATATGTGAAACATATGAAATTAAATTTGTTCTGATTTTGATTCTGATCGTAAAATTGATAAACAGAGAATTGAACTTTTATATTCCGTTGGTTGCCGGCCCAGTGATCCGATGGTTATGCGTTCGCTCACAATATCGAAGGTCTCGTGTTCGAATCCTGTGAGCTGCAGGAGTCGTGGATGCGCACTGCCACTGACGAGTCCCATAGCAGGACGAAACGGCCGTCCAGTGCTTCCAGGTTTCTAATGGTGGTGGTCTAACAATGATTGATTGATGATTTCAAATGTGTAAAAATACAAACCTCCAGAACTCTGCCCTAAAACATTTATATTTATTAGTAGTAAGTGGTCAAAATGAAATGCATTTGAAATATTTTTTATTGTAGAGTGAAGAATGTAACATTTATGATGGTTGCACAACTATGTAGTTTTTAATTATCGTTGGTTAAATGGGTTTGCATAATCATTGTACTTATTGTTTTGTTCATATAAGTGAGATAAACTATGCTCATATGATAATGCATATCTGTTTTTGAATATGTACCCCTTCATGTTCAGATACAGTAGGCTCGATTGGCTTTTGCCAACCTGCGTCAACTATGACGTAGGCGAGATATCCGTTTGCTGACTAAAGGACGAGTGTACTGTGCAGCAGTTCGCTCTGTACTACTATACGGATGCGAGACATGGCGTTTAAGAGTAGAGGACATTCGTAGGTTACTAGTCTTCGATCATCGATGTCTCCGAAGCATTGCTCGTGTATCATGGGATGACCGAGTAAGCAATGCTATCGTTAGGAAACGAGTACTAGGTAAGGATGACAAATCAATAGATGAAATGGTGAAACTTCATCAATTGAGGTACTTGGGACATGTGTTACGTATGGCTAACCACCGACTGCCTCAAAAAGCTATGTATTGTGGTGTAGGAATAGGTTGGAAGAATGCTGTGGGCAGCCAAACCAAAATATGGCACAAATCCATGAAGTCACTGACAAGTGGACTGAGTCATGTTGGTAGATGTAGACTACCTGGTTGGGGTCCGCGAGACGATAGTCACCGATGGTTAGAGACCTTGAATGACATGGCTCAGAATCGTTCGCAATGGTGAGCGCAGGTGCATCCACTCTTTGTGTTCTATGAAATTCTAAGCTTCTGCATTCCTCATAATCTCTACCTTTCTCCGTCTAAATTTATCTTACTGAATTTTACTTCTCGAATCATATCTTCGCTCCCTAATCTTCTCCATTACTGCTAATAATTCTACTATCGCTATCACTGTTGGATTTGAACTGACAGTTGCGTCTTTGTGCTTATGTGGTATCTGTGCTTATGCAATCTGAACTGATGTACTAATGTACGAAGTTCTGCGTTGTATCTGTCTGTCTGTCTGTCATGTTCATAAATAGCTGAGTCAACTATTATTCATTGAGTAGATTGCTTCTGCCGTTGTAATTCCCATACATTTACAATCAACCTTTATCGTTTGCCTGCTTTATCGGATGTTTGAAATATACGTTCTTCAAATTCGTATTCAAAACTCACTTATTAAATTTACTCTATTTATGAACTGGATTTGTCAATGTAATATGTACGATGTAGGTAGGATACTTACTTAGTTACGCCTGTTACTGCCCACCAGTTTTCTCCAACCAACTCTGTCCTAGGCCCCCCTTTCCAATTAGGTAGGATATAAATATGTATTTCACTAGCTTCAATATTGTTCGTTTATTTTGGAGCCAACAATCAACTATAAACGAATCATATGAACCGTTTCATTAGAATAATAAAAACTGATCCCTACCTTTTGTTTATAAACATTTAGAATAATTTTGAAAGTTTCATTATACAGCAGTTAAAATTTAGACCTACAACTTAATACAGGTTTGTAAGTAATTCAATAAAACCATTCACCTTTATTTTGAATAAAAAACAATATTATTTAGTATCTGATACATGCAAAACTTTATTACTTTTCAGTAGGTCAAGTTAAAACAAATACTCAGTTTACCAATAATTTACTGCACAGTGATATCACCAGTTAATCATTGTTAGACCACTATTAGAAACCTGGAAGCACTAAAAGACGGCTGTTTCTTGCTGGTATGGGACTCATCAGTGGCAGTGCGCATCCACACTTCTTACAGGATTCAAACCCAGCGACTTCGGTCTTGCACGCGAACGCCTAACCTCTGGATCACTGAGCCGGCATCCAAAGGTTTTAATGTCTAACTATGATTAATCTACAGATTTCGCGCGACCTCATCCATTTGTCTTTGGTAGTACATATTTGTATTTACCAATAATTGAGAATTAGTTCATGAAGACAACTCTGTATTTTCAAACGATCACTCTTCAAATTTTCATAATCTTATTTATAAAATGTAGCACTTTATTTTTAAACAGTTAAATATGAATAATTTGTATGTTTTTCAAAATGTAACAAAAAATTACTTAAAGTGATATAGATAGATGTTGATTTCAGATGAGACCTCACAATCACTAAGTGAAATGTTAATTTAAAAGAATTTGAACTAATAAGTTGTATTGTTTATATGTTAATGAAATAAAGAATGATTACTATGATATTAATTAAGGTATTTTCTTTGGTTGGCTTGATTTTAGTAAGTTAGATTTTTACGGAATGGGGTAGCTAAACTCCTACCTGGTCCTTCTTCTTTATTCAGGTTTGGGATCGGCAGTAACCCTGAAAAAGCTCCAGGTGGAGTCCTACGAAAACCATCATTCAAGAGATATAGGTGTTTAATAACTGCTCTAAACTCAACATACACAATTTCCAATGACCAAACACCATCAGCAACAAACTACTGTGGGAGAGGACAAATCAGATTCCAGTGAAGGAAGAAGCTTTGGAAGTGGATAGGATAGATAATGAGAAAAGCACCCAACTGAGTTACAAGGCAAGCTCTCACTAAAATCCTAAAGGCTGAAGGAGAAGAGGAAACGCATAGAATACATTGCGCCGAAAGTCGGGAGTAGACACGAATAGAATGGACTGCAATGAAAGCTCAGGATAGAGTAGAATCGAGAATGCTGATCGGTGGACGTTGCCTCATTAAGAGTAACGGGTGTACTCTAGTAAGCAATTCACTGGAGAACTATTCATAAACTGAGTGAATATTTTGTAAAACCATCTTCATTTAGAAATGGAAATCATAGAAGAAACTCTGATGAAAAAAAAAACAATCACTGTAATTTAAGATACTGAGATTATGATAAAGCTCCAGCAACTCAGGAGAGTGCTTGCTGTTTTGCTATGCTCTTTTTTTAAATTACCGAGGTCGGAGAACATATCACAATCAAAATATGAAAAATGCTAAGAATGAATAAAATTATTACCCATTTACGAGTTAACTCAAATAGATGTCCGCAAATGAAAACGATGACATTCAGGTTAATATGTTCTTATGGAAACTCCTTACTGTCTTTACTTCTGTTGTGCTTCGTTAACAACATAAAGTTGATACTTTTCATTATGGTTTAAATTAATCCCCTTATATGATTTACGAAATCCACAAATAAACCTATCTAACATTGAGAAAGCCATGTCCGTCCATTATCTAGAACTCGAGTTATGTGAGTTCTTCGGCATTTCATTACATATTTCACTCCTAAGTTGATTAAAATTTGTTCTGTTTTCTTATTAGTGTAATGTAGTCTGTTTTTTTTATTTGGATTACTTGATTACCGTTTGCATATCTTCCACATTTTGACTAAACCACATTCATAGCTGAACTGTTCGTCCCTCTGAATAAAAATATAAAACGTCGTGGATTGAACTTGCTGCATTTATATAACCTACCAAACATTCATAAACAAGACATCTAGTTTAGGATTATTTTTTTAAAACGGCAAAAACACCTTACTACAAGGTTGCCCACTGGTTATCGGAAAAATTAGAAACAATTCAGCATCGCTTAACCACTTAAATACTCATAGACTCTTCCCAATTTGTTGACAGTATCAGTCACATATAAATTGCTGGAAAATCAATGGTTTCCTTTGATAGGATATATTTGTTTATCAAAATATCACTCTTTGAAACGACAGGCATAGTTTACGAGCTGTCTTTGCCTACCAGTAAAATAAGTCAAACAATCAGTAATTACTTGCATGAAAGCTGTTTGACAAACTCTACAAGTTCTCGATTTTTCTTTGTACCCTTGCTGACCACTTTACCAAAATATCAAGAACCAGTGTACTCATCATTTTTGGAGTTTGATATTGGCCGTTATATACAATCACATAGGAAATCATATGATTTCGATCATTGACTGTTTATGCTCTTCTTTTTCAAGAAAAAAACATTGGAATATTCTCTAGAACGACACCTAAAGATCAATCTATTTGTTAATGATTCCTTTTAATTGTATATGGTTTTGTTGAATTGAAATTCTTCCACGATTATAAATTGCAATTAGATTTTTAGCTCATTTAACTGGTAGATGGTGAAATTCAACAGGTTATCAAGAAGAACTACTTTTGTAAAATACATTATAGCAATATTTTCAGTTAGAGTTTTGGAGGTTTGTGTTTTTACACATTCGAAATCATCAGTCAATCATTGTTAGTCCACCATTAGAAACCTGGAAGCTCTAAACTAATGGAGTTTAACCCTGTTGGGTT